GGAAAGAGTCGTCCATTCTCACAAGATCCTGTTTAAGCCCTTTACTCGGGGACAGTAGTGCACCGGGGTAATGATTGAATTTACAATGTTAGTGAATTTTGTTTGTTGCAGTCATTTCTTTCTGTTAATATTTTATTTTATTTTATTTTTTAAGGGCTCTTTTGAGAAGGTTGCACCTTTACAATATTGAAAGAATGGATAACTCGTCACTTTGTGGAGCACTATCGGCTTGTCCATCTCTCCTTGATCTGGAAATTGTGGGCTTGTAAGTATCTTTGAGTTGAGTTTTCTTTTGTGCATTTTATTTAGTTTTTTTAATTTCAAGTTTCTAAGGAGGATTTGGTGTATTTTAATTATTGCCTTATTAGATCACAATTGCCTTAATTACTGCTTTTCTAATTAAATGCATAGTATTCCCTGTTATCTTTTTAGGAGCACGAGAGTATGTTTGCCTCTATAGTACATATATTATTGTTTTAAATCTTCCACAGAATAGCGGTTCCTGGCCAATGTTTTTAGAAATTTGTTGTTATTTTTCCACTGACAACTTTCTTTCTAATGACTAGACATGTTGAGTTGAGGCAAACATTGGTATCTGTGAGTGCAAAGTGTCACTTGATAGAGCGTTTGTTCTTTGAATCCTCAAAAACAGGTACTGCATGCTTGTATTGGGACCGGGACCCTTACTGTGGCCCAAAAATTTTATTCTTATACATGTGTTTCTTGTGTCACAGGTAGAGATGACAGTTTGAAATCACAGACCTGCCTTGATCTAGTAAATAACTGTCCTAATCTAACTTCATTGGCTCTTAGAGGGTTTAAGCTGCATGATTATAAGGTTCGCATACTGGTTAAGGTACGTCTTGCTATTTTAAGAATCCATATTCCCAAGGTTCATGTGTTCTTGAGTATTTATTCTACTTTATTTAGAAACATACTTTCTGGAATCCAGATCTCTTTTTCTTTCTCTGTGTCCGTGTCTATTTGACTGATGCTATAATGTGATATATGAATATGTGAAATTTAACTTTAACATCACAAGTGACAACAGGTCGTGTGACCCTTGTTCTTGTTACTTTGTCATATTTTCAACGTTCTTCCTTCTGTTGTACTTCGATTTATTTATTTATTTTTAAGTCCTCGTGAAATATCTAACTTGGAATTCAATTAATTCCACTTAAAGGTAATGCTTTGAGCTGCTTTGATGAATTGTTAGGAGAATTACATTCATCTTACTCTGTGACTATATATGTTGATCCCTTTCTATAAATTGGGATGTAAGTTTTACGCTGTTAGAATTTCTGAGCAAAAAGGCAAGATTTATAATCTATGTGGATGCTTGCGCAGGGATTTAGAAAACTAAAGTACGTTGATTTTTCAACATCCTATTCTATCTCCGGAACATTTATAAGGTCAGCCTCTCTCTCTCTCTCTTTATTTTTTTTTACCTATGAATTATTGATTAAACTTCATCAAAATCTAGTTAACGGTTTCGTATTTGAGATTTTTTATTGATGTTCTACCTCATAAGTTGAGCGAGATATTTTCTCCCTTAGGAATCTTGGAAACAGCATGGGGGGCAATTTGCTAGAAGTCTTAATTTTACGGGATTGTATGCATCTCAAAGAGGTGAGAACTACAAGTATCCTCTCCTTCTTTCCCTCTTTTCCTCCTTCCCTCCCTCCCCCCCTCCCTCTCTCTAATGCTATTTCTATGTTTACAGGTGGAAGTTTCTCGGCTTTTGAAGGCAATTATTTCTGGGGATTTCCAATTCCTCAAACATCTTGTAAGTGGATCGGAGTTGACTGTAATCTTTCTGCATAGACCTGCTCTAAAGTTTCAACTTAATGTTTATTTACTATGTATCTGTATGTTTTTAATAACTTGCACCTTGGTGCTTGATATTGTATCTAATTTTCTACTTTTGTTTACTGCCTGGAGCAGGACATATCTAATAGGGAGGGTTTGGCTTCTGAGAGTGACTGGTATGACAGGTGCTATAACTCTAGGTAATAGTTTCTCCCATACTTGATTGATTATCTATCCTCGTTGTTGGATTTGGAAGAGTTTCTTCCTTTGATGTGTTCGTTCTTCAGGTCAGGTTTTATCTTTGGCTTTTATTCTTACGATCTAGAAACTTTACATTATGCAGTGCAATTCCTATCAAGCAGTTATTGGAAGAGAGGCCTGACATTTGTTTTCTGGCCGAGTTTCCATCAGAAGGAAGGTTGGTTTATTCTTCAGTTATTTCTGGTTGATGTCATTGGAAATATGCTAATTTTCCCTCAAAATTTTTAATGCAAAATCTATTGGCAATTTGGAGATTCATTTACCAGTGTCTTATGGGAATCTGGATTTTTGCAGTTACATTGAGATTGATCAGATGTTTGACAGTGAGATAAATAGTGATATCAGTCTGCCATCGCAAATGAGCAGTCATACGTCAGATGGTTCAATGTTTTTGAGTTTTTCGGAGAGCAGTTACAATAGTGACCATGGTAGTGGCAATGAGGATGGTCGAGATGCAGGTTATGTCATTTATGAGGAGAGCTCGGATGAGGTGGACTTTCTTGCTGTATGAGATATGTACCTTGTGCGGCAATTACTAAAATTTGTGGTCATCAGATGGATTGGGTACTTTCTCTCTCTCTATCACTTGCATGTGTGCAGAAGAGAAAGATGTTAGGTAGATTGCCGCGTTCCTTATACATTTACAAAGTGGTTAAAGTTTCCAGGCATTCCTTTGAAGATGTGTAGAGTTCATAAACCATTCATATGTTCAAAGAGATTATAGTATTTTGGATGATGTTCGTGCATTCTCTACTACAAGGAGGTTATGGTACTTATAACTCCCTGCACGTGTTGACAGAGTGCTCTACAGAACTGAGGCGGCGTTTTATGGAACTCAACTCTTCGGGGAGTGCGGGTTGAATAATTGACTCGGGGCGAACTGTATCATATCGTCCATGTTGTTATGAGATTTTGCAGCTGGGAGTGGGCCGCAGAAGTGTCCTCAGCTTGGTTATGGAGCTCAGGAGTAGTCCTTCCCCTGTTTCGCCAAGATTTGTTTTTTGTAGCCACTTGAGGGCCTTTCTAATCCTTTTCTTTGCTTTTTATATATCCTTTAATCACGAGGTTTATGGTTATGTTTTCAACTCCGTTTCTTTCAATTTGCATCAATATCCTTTTTTTTGGCCTTTGGTTTGAAGCTTAGAGACTTGCAAAATATGCTGCACTGGCAGGGATAGCACTTTTATTTTTCCTCCAATATGAAAGAGAAAGATAAGGCTAAAAAGAGTATTACAAGTGGACTTCTAACTTAGTTTTCTAGGCAGCGCGAGACATTTTATCATTTCATTTGGTTTCATTTATTTTCGTTGGTGGATGGAACTGATGCACTACATTTACGACAACTTTCATGATACAATGTCAGTAAGGCTGTTGGAAGGATAGCTAGCAAATTGATTGCTTAGTTCTTGTAAAATGCAAAAGTATTTCATGGTGCCTGTGTGTGTGTGTGTATATATATATATATATAGAATTAAGAATATGGTTGTAAATTTCACCTCGGCTAGAAGATAATTTCTAAGTTGTAACAAAAAATTAGTAGATCTGAAATTCAATAATTTGTTACCAAAAGCTTAAAATGGTTGCTAATCATGCTTAGTAAAAAGAAGGCTAGTGCAGTGTCGATTTAATTAAACATTGGCAAGGAGAAAGGAGAAGGCGAAGGAAGAAAAGCAATTCTCATATAGCTATGAGTGGTTTCTTTCCACCGAAAGAGAAAAAACGGAGGGTTAACCGTATTTGTGAAGCTCTTAATTTTTTTTTTTTTCCTTTTGTTGTTGCGAATTTTTGTCTAAAAAAATATACTTTTTTGTCGTACATGTGAGCATAATTTAACTATAAATCTACTTCACTACAAGTTAGGGAAAAAATTAATAATAATAGAACTCTTTGAAAACGCTTTTAATTTTGTATAATTTCAGTCAATTATAATTTTTAATAGTAAACATTTAATTTATAAATTTAAAATTATTTTTAATTTATATATATTTTTTATAAAAAAAATATTATAATTTAAATCATAATACTAATACTTATACTAAACACCCCGTAAATGTTTTCTAATAATCAACAATCACACTTCAATTTTATTTATCTGTACGCTCCAATTTTATTTCAACCGGTTAAACATTAAAACAGAAAATAAACTCTGACTTCAAATCCCCCTTTATTTATCCATCTCATGTCGTCCAACGACTAAGAGAGAGATTTTTTTTTTTTTTAAAAGGAAGAAGAGCAATGGCGAGCAGCGGGCAAGAGGCGCCGCCGTACAAGCCGTACCGGCAGCTGAAGATCCTACGGGGGCACGAGCGCGCCGTGTCGTGCGTGAAATTCTCTAACGACGGCACCCTCCTCGCCTCCGCCTCCCTCGACAAGACCGTCGTGATCTGGTCCTCCGCCACCCTCTCCCTCCTCCACCGCCTCGTCGGCCACTCCGAGGGCGTCTCCGACGTAGCCTGGTCCTCCGACTCCCACTACATCTGCACCGCCTCCGACGACCGCACTCTCCGCATCTGGGACGCCCGCTCCCCCGGCGGCGAGTGCGTCAAGACCCTCCGCGGCCACTCCAACTTCGTTTTCTGCGTCAACTTCAACTCCCAATCCAATCTCATCGTCTCCGGTTCCTTCGACGACACCATTCGCGTTTGGGAAGTCAAGACCGGTAAGTGCCTCCACACGATTAGGGCTCACTCCATGCCCGTCACCTCCGTCCACTTCAACCGCGACGGCTCCCTCATCGTCTCCGGCAGCCACGACGGCTCTTGCAAGATTTGGGACACCGCCTCCGGGACCTGCCTCAAGACTCTCATCGACGACAAGGTCCCTGCTGTTTCCTTCGCTAAGTTCTCTCCCAACGGCAAGTTCATTCTCGTCGCCACTCTCAACGACACTCTCGTATGTTCTTCTTCTTCTTTCTGTTTTCAAATTAAGCTTCTTTATTTCAGTGACAAGCTTGAGACTATAAATATCTGAAATTGAGGAAAAAGAAGGAAACTTTACTCTGCGAAATTTTACTTAATTTTCTAACATAAAGACAGAGGTTAGGAGCTTGAGATTTGGAGGTATGTAGTTGGAAATTGGAATTTAAACTTGAAAAATATAGAAATTGTATTTTTCATTCATACTTTGTGATTAGTCTGTACATGGTTATATAGGTAGAAAATACAATCAGTTATCCTAGAATCACGTTCTAGAATCAAGGCTAACTATTTTGTTCACACTCATCATACAACTGTGGTGTTCCTAAATTAGGAAAGAATTACAAAAGGAGATTACAAGGATCGAGAACAAATCTCAACACTCCCCCTCAAGTTGGAGCATAGATGTCACACATGCCCAACTTGTTCAAAAACTTTGAGAACATTCGGCTTGAAACTGCTTTGGTGAGGATATCAGCCAACTGATCTTCTGATCGAATCTTCGGTAACTCCATGATTTTGTCATCCAACTTCTCCTTGATAAAGAATCTGTCTATCTCGACATGTTTTGTACGATCATGTTGAACTGGATTATGAGCAATGTCACATGCCGCTTTATTATCACAAAACAGTTGAATCGGTTGCCTAGATAAATAGCCCAAATCCTGCAAGAGTAATCTTAGCCATAATGCCTCACAAAGTCCTAGTGCCATACCTCTGAACTCAGCTTCTGCACTTGAGCGAGCAACAACATTTTGTTTCTTGCTTCTCCATGTCACAAGATTACCACCTACAAAGGTAAAGTAACCGGAAGTAGATCGCCTATCATCCACGGCACCAGCCCAGTCAGCATCAGTATACGCTTCTATGCTTTGATGATCTGAGTTCTTTGTGAACAAAATTCCCTTTCCAGGAGCAGATTTCAGATACCTCAAAATCCGCATAACTGCATTCATATGTTGCTCTCCAGGATTATGCATAAACTGACTGACAATACTTAATGCATAAGCTAGATCTGGTCTTGTATGGGCTAAGTACATCAATCTCCCAACAAGTCTTTGGTATCTTCCTTTATCAACCAGTACCTGGTTGGGCTCCACACATAACTTTAGGCCTTCTTCCACTGGTGTACCAATTGGTTGGCATCCTGACATTCCGGTTTCTTGTAAAAGATCTAAGGCATATTTCCTTTGGGATAAAAATATTCCTTTATTGGATCGAGATACTTCAATCCCAAGAAAATATTTCAGAGGACCTAGATCTTTCATTTCAAACTCTCTAGACAAGTACTCTTGTAGGGCCTTTCTTTCTTCAGAATCATTTCCTGTAACCACCATGTCATCCACATATACAATGAGTGCAGTGATCTTACCCTGCTGTTTCTTTAGGAATAAAGTATGATCTGAATTGCTTTGATGGTAGCCAAATGCTTTCATAGACTTCGTGAACCTTCCAAACCATGCCCTTGGGGATTGTTTTAACCCATACAACGATTTCTTTAGTTTGCACACCTTCCGACTATGCTTCTCGTGTCTCATGCATCCAGGTGGGAGATCCATGTAAACTTCTTCAGATAATTCACCATGCAGAAAAGCATTCTTCACATCAAACTGTTGTAATGGCCAATCCAAGTTTGCAGCTAGAGACAACAGAACACGAACAGTGTTGATTTTGGCTACAGGTGCGAATGTCTCTGTGTAGTCAATCCCATAGGTTTGAGTGTATCCCTTCGCTACTAGCCTCGCTTTAAAGCGTTCAATTGTGCCGTCAGCTTTGTACTTCACAGTGTAAATCCACCGACATCCAACTATTTTCTTTCCTAGTGGAGGATCAACAAGCTCCCAAGTTTCATTCTTTTGTAGGGATTTCATCTCTTCATTCATGGCTGCTTTCCACCTGGGGTCGGTTAAAGCTTCCTGCACACTGTTAGGAATAGATACACTAGACAATTGATTAACAAATGACATATTTGATTCTGACAAACGGTGGTTAGATATGTAATGACTCATGGGATATTTGACTTTACTAGATAGGTCAGGTTCATATGTGGGTCTAGGGATACCTCTGGTGTGACGCTGTGGTAACTGTCGTTTGTATGGCTCAAGAACACCTTCAGGAAGTGATTGGTATGATACGTCGGACAAAGGCAGCTCCACATCTTCAGTTTGTCGAACGAGAATCTCAGATTCAGGCAAACTTGCTTCTTGTGTTACTGGGTGTTCATCACCACTTTGATCCAACGTTATACCACTTAAATCCAATTCACCCATCTCATGGTTCACTGGTCCAGCTTGTGAGTTGTCACCACTATAATCCATTGTTATACCACTTATATCCAAGTTGCTCACATCCTGGTTACCAGACTTTGACGATTCAACTTTATCAGAAATGGGATAATCATACTCTAGAAAGTCGTAATCTAGAGTCTGAATTTCCTTCTGGTACTCCCCCTGAAGTTCAGGCTCGAAAAAATACATTGTGTTTTCATGAAAAACAACATCCATTGTAATAAACATTCGACGTGTGGGAGGATGATAGCATCGATATCCCTTTTGATGAGCAGCATACCCAACAAAAACACATCGCAGCGCTCGAGGAGTTAACTTGTTGCGTTGATGCTTATGGAGGTGTACAAATACTACACAGCCAAAAACATGAGGAGGTAAATTTGATACGGCTGGGGCAACAATTGCTTCTGTGAGAGTTTGGAACGGTGTCCGGAAATCAATAATGCTAGAGGGTACCCGATTGATTAAATAGGCTGCTGAAGTAAGCGCTTCTCCCCAGTAGGATAATGGCATATGGG